GCTGAAGGTTAAGCTGATCGCCAATGGGCAATGATTTAATCAATCATGCTTATGTAAGGAAGCTTCAATGAAAACCCAAAAGGTACGCTGTTTGGGGAACTTCTAAATGGCTGCACCCTTGGAGACTCCTGGAGGGTGGCGTGCCTGGAGATGGCATGGAATTCTCCACACCCTTTTCCACAAGCCTTGCCCTATGTATGTTTTCATCTATATCCTTCATGATAGCCTTTATAATAAACCAGTAAATGCAAGTAAGTGTTTTCCTGAGTTCTGTGAGCCATCTAGCAAACTAATCGAACCTAAGAAGGAAGCTGTGGGAATGAACCCCAATTTATAGCCAGTGGTTCAGAAGCATAGGAAAAATCAGCATTAGGGGCTTGCAATCAGCATTAGAAAGGGGGGCGGTCTTGTTGGACTGAGCTTTCAGTCTGTGTGAACAGACACTATCCAGGTAGACAGTATCAGAATCGAATTGGAGGATATCCAGCTGGTGTCTGTTGCACAGATGACTGCTTGCTTGTGTGGGGGAAAAACGCCCACACATCTGGTGTCAGAAGTGTGTTGTGAGAGTATACTGGGAAAAAACTGAATTTGTTTTTTCTACTATTTAACAATGTTACATGGGGACAATGTCATCAGCAACATTCCTAAAATAAAACAATGCAAATTTTATTGAAGCACATTCATGGGATAATACCAAAATCAATTCAATTTAAACATTTCTATAATGAAGATTTTTAAAAAAGTTCTCTGATGAACTTGGTCTAAGAATACAATTTGAAATAGCTAAAGCAGTCTTCCAACTTTTTGCCCTGGAATCCTCTCTCCATATAAGAATATTTACATGAAAATGCAACACGTAATACAGAATAAAATTGTGCAATTCAGGCTGAAAGGGAAAAGGCTTACAGCCCAGCTGGATCACCTATGAAGTCCTCCTACCCCCAATACACACACATAAATACACGAGCATACAAAGCACAGTTTAAAAATCACTGATTTAAAAATGATGGATGAACTGCATTACTGTGGGCAGTTCTCCATGAGTATTTATTTTTTCTTCCATGAGAGAAAGACTAGACAACAGAGAGCTTGAGGTCATAGGTTCCTGCAAAAACCTGGGGGACAGAAATCCTACGTTACAACATAGAAATAAACCATCTGTGGTACCAATACATCATGAAGAAGATAAAGTTAACAACTCCTCATGCAAAGAATCCTAACAACGTCAGTATTAATGTTAACAGTCTCAGAGTTTCAAACTCACAATCCAGAATGCAGTGTCAGAATTAAAAGGTAGTGTTTCTTTCGTGATCCATTAGCTCATGTATATGCAAAAGGAAAACACCTAGAAGGACTGTACCTTTCATAATAGTTTGTGTATATTAATTGCTAAATAAATCCTACAGAATAAATAAGGCTAAGGGTTGTTATGGGTCGATTTGTGTCCCTCCTCCCACCATAAAGGTGTTAAAGTCTTAGCCCCCAGTACCTGTGAATGTGATCTTACTTCGAATTAGGGTCTTTGGAGATGATCACGTTAAGATGAGGTGCCTTCAGGAAGAACATGGCTCTCCCGACACCTTATGTATACTTCTGGCCTCAGGAATTGCGAGACAATAAATTTCTGTTTTTCAAAGCCATCCAGTTTGTGACACCTTTTTACAACAGCCCTAGTGAACTAACACGTGGATCCAGAAAAGTAGTACTTGTTGACTTGACTATAGGTGCACAGATTACTGTTTAACAACTGGAAAATTGAGATATTAGGAAAAATGGCCTCTTCTGGAAGGCACATAGCTCAGATTATTCAAATATTATACTCCCCATCTCGATGAAAACCCAAGATAGAGGAAAGTAAAGTAGGCCTTTTATCTTCCCTATACTTTCTATGTCAAAAGAAGCATAAAATGTCTCAACGTTTTATATTTTGATACTAAATGCAATGTCTCAATGTCCTATCCTACAGCTTAAAACCTTCAGAGATGCCTAATAACAATAAAGCAAGAAAGAAGACAGCCCTAGACAGTGAAAAAGGAAATGGCCACAATGATAAATCAAAAAATATCTAGAATGCAATTTAGACCGAAGTAAAAACACACTGATGATTATCTTCAGATCTCAGGCAGCTCACAGATTCCTTGAAAACAAAGTATCACAGTCCTGATGAAATCTCTAGGTGCAGATCAGCCCGAGGAGAAGGGAAGGAATATCCCTAATGAGATCTGGAAACATAACCCAGAGAGGAGGAACCGCACAGCATACGGCCGTCTTTATTGTCCATAAACGACATGTCTAAAACTAAGAAGACGGCCAAAGATGAAGAGTGCGGAGAGGGAAGTGGCATTCACCACATCAAAAAGAGAAAGCTGTGAATTATGTCACTTAACTATGAGCCTTAATGACCAGCTATAAAACAGACTCTACTCCCAATGCAGAGGATGTAACAGAGGAAGTAACAGTGCAGGCGGCTGCGGCAAATTCAGACAAAGCAACACTCCTTGATCCCTCCTCATACTAATCTTCACCAAAGAGATGAAACTGTTCCCATGTTGAATTAGTAAAACCAGAAGGAACGACCGAGGATGTGTACACATAGAGCTGAGAGGGAAGTTGGTAAAGAAATACATGCATATTTATTTTTATCTTTCTTTAAAATGTAAATAATAGC